GTAATCAACAGTCCCTGTACAGTGTAATCACCAGTCCCTGTACAGTGTAATCACCAGTCCCTATACAGTGTAATCACCAGTCCCTGTACAGTGTAATCAGCAGCCACTATACAGTGTAATCATCAGTCCCTATACAGTGTAATCACCAGTCCCTGTACAGTGTAATCACCAGCCCCTATACAGTGTAATCACCAGTCTCTGTACAGTGTAATCACCAGTCCCTATACAGTGTAATCATCAGTCCCTGTACAGTGTAATCACCAGTCCCTGTACAGTGTAATCACCAGTCCCTATACAGTGTAATCACCAGTCCCTGTACAGTGTAATCACCAGCCACTATACAGTGTAATCACCAGTGTCTATACAGTGTAATCACAAGTCCCTGTACAGTGTAATCACCAGTGTCTATACAGTGTAATCACCAGTGTCTATACAGTGTAATCACCAGTCCCTGTACAGTGTAATCACCAGCCACTATACAGTGTAATCACCAGTGTCTATACAGTGTAATCACCAGTCCCTGTACAGTGTAATCACCAGTGTCTATACAGTGTAATCACCAGCCACTATACAGTGTAATCACCAGTGTCTATACAGTGTAATCACCAGTCTCTGTACAGTGCAATCACCAGTCCCTATACAGTGTAATCACCAGTCCCTGTACAGTATAATCACCAGTCCCTATACAGTGTAATCACCAGTCCCTGTACAGTGTAATCACCAGCCCTATACAGTGTAATCACCAGTCCCTGTACAGTGTAATCACCAGCACTATACATCACCATACAGTGTAATCACCAGTCCCTGTACAGTGTAATCACCAGTGTAAGTGTAATCACCAGTCCCTGTACAGTGTAATCACCAGTCCCTATACAGTGTAATCACCAGTCTCTGTACAGTGTAATCACCAGTCCCTGTACAGTGTAGTCACCAGTCCCTGTACAGTGTAATCACCAGTCCCTGGTTTCCCACTCGATGCAACCTGTGAAGGTACGGGTTAGAATGAATCTTCAGTAACCCATGCTTGTCGTAAGAGGTGACTAACGGGATCGGGTGGTCGGGATCGCTGACTTGGTTGACACATGTCATCGTATCCATTTGTGTAGATCGATGCTCATGCTGTTGATCACTGTATTGTCTGGTGCAGACTATTGCTTCTTGGGGCGTTACAAAAACCAACCAACCAACCGACTCGAGGCAGCTAGACTGGGCCGTTTGTCACAGTGCTGACACCGCATACCGACCCAATGCATGCACGGAGGAAGGTAGAGTATACACACTGGTCAAGTACTGACCAGAGACAATATATACCGACGCTGACAATGTACATCGAGAAACCGTCAACTTGTGCCGGGTTATAGCATGTACATGTTTGAGAGTCGCATCACTCGGGAGGAGGATGTTGGTGGGGTAACGTTACAAACACCGCCACACGGCGACATGGACCAGTCACATTAACACACATTCGAGAATATCGGGTAACAAAAGTGTACTTCAATATGTAGCAAAAGGACATAACGTGTCAATTTACAATGAGTTAATAGTTTGAGATCCATTTGAGGGATAAATATAATAGGATATCAATTACAGACTAAGATAATTACTTTGAAAACTTTTCCGCGTAAAGAGTTCTATTTTAGAATCCCCGCTGGTACGCGGTGACAGCTAAGGGTGCATGCACACTACGTCTATGTTTTTTCTATGTGTCGTCATGTGATGCGTTAAAAACGCACACTGTGTATTTTACTATGACCGCGCTTCATTGTACTATGACTGACTAACTGAGTTTTGTTTTACGCCGCTTTTAGCAATATTCCAGCAACATCACGGCGGGGGACACCAGAAATGGGCTTCACACATTGTAGCCCATGTGGGGAATCGAACCCGGGTCCATGGTGTGACGAGCCAATGCTTTAACCACTAGGCTACCCCACCGCCCCTCTTTTTACTATGAAGTATACAATGGTATACTATAGCAAAAACGCAATAGGAAAACGCCTGTAGCGTGAGCAGTAAAAACGAAACGCAACGCAACGCAACGCAACGCATCGTATAGAAAAATCGGACGTGGTGTGAGTGCACCCTAAGACCTCTTTTGGTGAATTCTATATTTCTAAATTAAACGGCGGAGGTCGACTTACATTGTAAAACACATTTTATGTTATCACTGCATAGCATGAATACATAATGTCATTTAGAATGTGGTCAAATGTAACATATATTAGTTTGTGATATTTTGTGCACGGCATGAATTTTATCGCCAATGTTTAATGGCGTGTGTCAATGATAATTAAATATTCAAAGCAGCAAAACATATTTTTTCTGCTAATTTGCTTATAAATTCCATTATTGTTCGGGAGATTTCGCTCAAACGCATCTTGTTCAGTAAATGTTTATGGAATTATAAATGTTCGCCGAAACGCAGTTACTTCGCGGAGTTAAATTTCCAGTTATCGTCAACATCATGGGTGAATGATATTTCATTTTAGATGAAAAACCGGGAACAAATAGTTCGGGCAATGGGTCTTCAACCAATGAAGCTACAGAATTTCGAGAACAGCCAGTAGCCATTATTCGACTGCAGCTCTCAAAAGAAACGGGCGGTGGGATAGCCTAGTGGTTAATGCGTTCGCTCGTCACGTCACTCACTCACTCACTCAAGGGAAACAAGTAGACAATACCGTTCTCGTGTTGGTACTAATTTTAACTATTATGTTTTAGTTTGCAGTAGCAGTCGATATTCTAATTGCTTTATAGCGAGGAACATTACTGATTGAAATTAGGCTGACTGACTGACTGAGTTTGGTTTTACGCCGCTTTTAGCAATATTCCAGCAACATCACAGCGGGGGGACACCAGAAATGGGCTTCACACATTGTGCCCATGTGGGGATTCGAACCCGGGTCTTCGGCGTGACGAGCCAACGCTTTAACCATTAGGCTACCCCACCGCCCCTATTGATATTAGGAGTGTGTATCGTACTTACAAGAAAGTCTTCCTTGAATTACAAACTGTATGTGAGACCTATCCAATTGCCTCTGTTAAATGAGTGAGTGAGTTTATTTTTACGCCACACTCAACAATATTCCAGCTATATGGCGGCGGTCTTTAAATAATCGAGTTTGGACCAAACAATCCAGTGATCAACAGAGCATCGATCTGCGCAATTGGGAACCGATGACATGTGTCAACCAAGCCAGCGAGCCTGACCACCCGATCCTGTTAGTCTCCTCTTACGACAAGCATGGGTTACTGAAGGTCATTCTAACCCGGACCTTCACGGTTGCCTCTGTTAAAGGATATACGGTAAAACAAAATTATGCACAAAACCACCTGCAGTTTCAAAATGGGCACTGACAAAATTCACCTATATTGCAAATGCATTCATCAGACAATATCGACAAATACGTCAACATGAGACCCTGGAAAATCATTAAAAAAAACTCCCGCAGCAAGTGTATCAAGTATTGTGTGCGGAATATAAATTATGTTTACGAGGCTTCGTACTACTCACAACACATCAGTCATAAGTGACCGTTAGGTAAGTAGGCTTATGAATTGTTGCGTAAAAGGATTATTCGAATTAAGATAATTATTATTCTGTTTTATTTTATTTATCAAAAACTTTCACGGCATAGAGTCGTTCAATCAGTGTTCAGTGTTGCGAGCGTCATAGAATTGAAATGATATTATACAAGGTTGAGTTGGCACGGTGTATTTACAAAACAAAGCCGAACCACTAGAGCAAATAGAAAACTACAATTAAATGTTGATAAATTATTGGTGGAACGTATGAAATATGTATGAAATAGATTAAATTCCCGTCGTTTTTTTATTCGAATTAAGATAATTATTATTCTGTTTTATTTTATTTATCATCTCTATGTACCACAAAGAGATCTATCGCATGGCATGCTGTTTTCAGGTGTATTATGATATTACTGATATCTTCAGATGTATTGAATCATATTATTACAACATGTTCATGAATATTAACAAGTGGATATTTACAGACATATAGACATAAATATGTAACATGGGGAGAATCAGTATAACACTTCACAAGGTGGTGTATCTGCTCCAAACAGAAATGACACCGTCTCTTCATCTTGCATTTCAAATATTACGTAAGTTTCGACATCAAGTTTCTCAATAAAATGTGCAAAAGAAATCATTTCGTTGTATTAGGTTTTCACAGTGGAGAAGCATATGGAAATCATAAGCAAGTGCTTGTTTGTTACAAAGAGTACACTCTCTTGCTATTGTGCCTCTTGATGGTATTTTCACACAAAACTGATTTATAATTAGGGTGTTTATATGCCAGTTGCCGGAGAGCATGATTAAAGGGTGTAGTATGAGTTGTTGCGTAAAATGACATGTTTGAACGACAGAAAGTATGTGATCGCCATAATTGTTCTCCATAACTGTGTACAAATGCATCATGGTGAATACGGAAAAGGGATGTGGCGGACAATATTTTTTAGATGCATTTGCGTTTCTTTGTCTAAACAGATTTGTTACAGCCTGAGTCCCGAAGTATTCATTTACACCCACGTAACTTATGTATTTTCTAACTATCACTACCATAGTCGTGGAAGCCGTGAAGATCCGGGTTAGAACTGATCTTCAGCAACCCATGCTTGTGGTAACTTGTAAGACATCTAACGGGATCGGGTGGTCAGACTAGCTGACTTGGTTGACACATGTCATCGAATCCCAGTGGCGTAGATCGATGCTCATGCTGTTGATAACTGGATTGTCTGGTCCAGACTCGAGTATTTACAGACCGCCGCCATATAGCTGGGTTAGTGCTGTATGAGTGCGGCGTTAAACAACAAACCAACCAATTATATTTAGTTAGTTGCTTCTCTCAAGCTTCTATATTTTTAGGGACTAAGCGTTAACCTGAAGTTTCCCATATTTATGTCTGTCATAGGATAGAGGGTCCAAAACACCTGAGTTTAATATTAGCTGAAAACGGTTGAATGTGGACTTCTTACCGTGAGAACCTGGCCTTCTTTGTGTGACGTGCGTCTTTAATATACCGACTTGTTGACGTTCATTGCCTGTAAATTAGAAAACACCATAAAGTAATATCTGAACTGCGAGGTTACACGGGAAGATAGGGCTGTAGGGATCAGGTGTAATCACTCCCCGACAGGCTAAGTCTTCAGAGTGAAACCCTGCTGTCAAACTGTATTAACCCAAAGTTGACAGCCGAAACAAATGGACCTTTTGGACAAGTGGAGTGTCAATATGAAACAATGGGTTTTGCAAGAAGACCTGATATTTCCCAGGTACTCGGATCTACTCGGGTTATTCCGATACATTCAGAAAACCTCGTTTACTGGATTATGTCATATTAACCCCACTGGTCCGGACAGGTATGACATGATGGCATGCTGTGACCATACGCTACTGTATACTAATCAGGACCGTATATAGACTTCGGCTGGAAGAAATGAGAAAAGAAATTCGAACATGCATTTAAAGGAAGAAAAGCTGGAGAAGAAACCAGGAGAAGCAAAAGGAGAAGAAGCTTATGAGGTACTGGAACTAGAAGCATAAGCTGAAGAATTATAAGAACCAGAAGGATAAAGTACTGGGCCCCGTTTCACAAAGCTCTCGTAAGCCTAAGATCTCGTAACTTTTCTCGTAGCATTCGTACTTCCTGTTAGCGTATAGGAGGCGCGAATGCTACGAGAAAGGTTACGATATCTTAGATTTACGAGAGCTTTGTGAAACGGGGCCCAGATTTATAAGACGCAGCAGGATAAGCTAAAGAATTTAAGAAGCAGAAAGATAAATTATAGGTTTATAAGAGTGAGTTTGGTTTTACGCCGCTTGTAGCAATATTCCAGCAATATCACGGCGGTGGACACCAGAAATGGGTTTCACACATTGTACCCATGTTGGGAATCGAACCCGGGACTTCAGCGTGACGAGCGAACGCTTTCACGACTAGGCTACCCCACCGCCCCAGGTTTATAGGAAACAGAAGGATAAGAAGTAGATTTATAAGAAGCAGGATAAGCTAAAGAATCATAAGAAGCAGAATGAATGAATGAATGAATGAATGAATCTCTTTATTTCCTCCACATTGTAGTCCGAAGATCATTATAAACATGTACATGAAATATTTACAGCAACATAATCACAGCAATATATTCACAACACATTCATATAGTCATACATGTATAAAGAAAAGATGAAAGGTCTAGAATGCACAGTTTAATGAGGGAAGCAAGGAATATAGGTATTTACAGAAGAGGACAATCATACATATCCATGACATTTCATCAATATCGTTAGTTACTAGTAGTTCACCCCCCCAAAATAGTGATAACATTTCATCTTCAGATAATAATTCTATTTGTACATAAACATCCACATGAAAGAGATCTATAAGTTTTGAAAAGAAACTATTTCTGTTGTACATATAGTGTTCACAGTGTAGAATTATATAATCATTACAATATCTTTTGAAGAGTTCACAATGTTTTGAGAATTTTCCCCTTGAGCTGATTTGTACACAAAACTGTAATATATCTTTAAATTGTGGGTAAAAATACATCAAACAATACAATCTATGTACACCAAAGAAATTGTGGGTCAGGCGATATCTATTCATATCTTGCCTTACACGCACTTGAGAAACCCATAGTTCAGTTTCAGATGTTTTAATACAATTATTAGTTATTCTTCGCCATGACGATTTACATGGAAACCTTCCAAAATCGAGATAGTCACTAAGATAATTGAAGAGATGGTATTTTAAACTGGTTTGAATAAGTGTGTCACATATACTATGTAAGACAGATGTTCTATTTTGAAAGGTGGCTAAATGTACACAGAAAATATCCTTAAATGAAGAATTATACTTGTTGTTGCACAGCTTGACGAGAAATAATAGTCTACATTTATCTATATAACCATCCATGCTCCACAATCCAAGGTTACCTAGCACTGAAGCAGAGGAAAAGCGCTTACCGAAACCCTGAATGCATCTGGCAAAATATCTCTGTGTACTTTCTACCAAGCCATAATCTTTACCTCGAAGAAAGGGTTAAAGTTCACAACCGTAAAAGCTTGTTGGAAGTATAATTCTTTTCCATATTTTAACAGAAGAAGTAGGGTAGATATCGTTACCGTTTAAACCAAGACTTTTTAGAGAATTTACAGATTGCCGTGCTTTCTGACAGTATGAATATACTCTAGATTTGGGGGATAGATCAGACGAAAGTAAAATGCCTCCATACTTAACACAATCACTTATTGGTATGTCTGAATCACCAAATTTGAAAGAATAATTACCCAGACGTTTCTTATATTTGCAGAAAATGACACAAGTGCTTTTAGAACCGTTATACGTTAGACGCCACTTACAAGCATAGCTATAAACAGTATCAAGTGATGATTGAAGACCTTTTGGAGAAGTGGAAGCAAGTGTTGTGTCATCAGCCAATAGAATACATGGGATATTAATGCCACTTACACAAATGCCATTGTTCACATATCAAATCATTAATATAAACAAGGAAAAACCAGGAAGACAAGACTCTACCTTGCCCTTACTTCATTGATTCATTCATTTCCCGCTTACTCCACAAAACATAAAGCATCCATTGTGCACTGAGATTTTGCCTTTGACATTTTAATCAGCCAATTATCTCAATTATCAAAATGCCCTAACAACTGCCATGATGATTGTACAGGCCCAGATCTGACGGCGCAGTGTCGACGTAGGCGTACATGTGTCAACGTTCACACCGCAGCCTGCGGTCGTAGTAACTGTTCAAATTACCGAATACACTATGACCTCGTACTACGTAACCGTGTAGCAAGGGGTATCACCGACAACGACATTTGTATACTTATTAAAGGGATGAGTGAGTGAGTTTAGTTTTACGCCACACAGTATTCCAGCTATAAGGTGGCGGTCTGTAAATAATCGAGTCCTTACCAGACAATCTAGTCATCACCATCATGATCATCGATCTATGCAATTAGGATACGATGACATGTGTCAACCAAGTCAGCGAGCCTGACCACCTGATCCTACGACAAGCATGGGTTGCTGTAGATCAGTTCTAACCCGGATCTTCGTGGGTACTCATGCGTGTAACAGTTTCAAGTATTCTAAATTAAATATATATATATAATGATACCGTCATAATAATGTTGACTGCAGTAAATATACTCTCCCAAAAAAGAAACGCATGTAGGAATTTCAACTGTATTTTTATGTTTATTTTGAAACATCTTGTAGGCTTTATGAGTCAATGAAATATAGCGAAATTGCACACTGGGAATGCAGACTTATCCGTCTTTGGCACCAACTCGAGGAAAGTCAGTTTGAGTGTCACATGGAGACGTGTGGTGGCGCTGAAGTCAATACCTCGTGTGACCACCGTGGGCATCCAGAACTGCACAGCATCGCCTCGACATCGAACGAATAAGTCTCAGAATCTCGTGTTGCCCAATCGCAGCCCACTCTGCCTGTAGTGCCTGTGCGAGTTGAAGTGTCTGGGACTGAGGGTTACGGCGTCGCACCCGTCTGTCCAGGGCATCCCAAAGATGTTCGATCGGGTTTAAGTCCGGTTGATCTTGAGGGCCAGGGGAGCACATTGATGTTGTGGTTCTGGAGAAAGTCTCTAGTGTGACGTGCTGTGTGAGGCCTGGCATTGTCCTGTTGAAACAACTCCTTCTGGCGATCAATGATTGGAAGGAGGTGTGGGCGTAGGATTTCGTCACAGTACCGTTTAGCTGTCAGGTTGCCCTGGATCATCACCAAATCACTTCTCCTACGGCAGGTGATCGCCCCCCACATCATAACTCTCCCCCGGTCGAATCTGTCCACCTGGGGAACGCAAGCGTCGACGAAACGTTCACGTCGACGTCTGTACACCCGCATTCTTCCATCGCGTCGTTCCAATAGAAATCGTGATTCATCACTGAACCAGACTCTACGCCAATTCGGTAGGTTCCAGGCCTGAACGTTGGTGCACCATTGAACTCGATGTCGACTATGTTGTCGAAGCACAGAGCCAAAATAAGGTCTTCTGGCACGTAAACCAGCCTCTCTCAACCTGTTCCTGACGGTCTGTGCAGAAAGCCTCCTCAATCCGGGTATTTGTCGAGCGGCACTGGTCGACGTAGCTGTTCGATGACGCAGGTGATGTACCCGGATGTAGCGATCCTGCGCCGCAGTGGTCGCTCGAGGTCGCCCACTACGAGGGGCATCTGCTACCGAATTCTGCCGGCGATATCTCCCCGAAAGCCGTGAAATGGTGCTTTGGTGAGCGTCGGGCAACTGCACGTTGAGACTGACCAGCTTCAAGCAAACCAATGGCGATATGACGTTGGCTTCACTTAGACGTGGCATTTTGCGTTCGTCAACAATAATCCAAATACAGTGAATAATCGACAGACAGCGATCAACCTTTTATACCCATCATGGAGACTATCTGATCCTCAACTTTCACGTGCATTGCATGTGAATTGTGTATTCTGTGACACTACACGCCGAAATTGAAAATCATGCTGTTAAATACGGGTATTTTACGGATGGTGCGTTTTGTTGTGATGTTTCAAAACATAAACACCATAGGACTCATAAACAGAGCAAAACCTTTTGTAAAATGAATCACGTTTTAATTTATTGCTACATGAAATTGCTATTTATACGATGCGTTTCTTTTTTGGGAGAGTATATATTGGATACGATTTATGGATGTCACAAGGAAACATTCCATGAATTATTTCCCTTACATGTATCAGTATTGAATGTTATGCAATAACTTGGGGTTTTTTTTGTTAAGCCCGCACTCAGCAATTTTCCAGCTATGGCGGCGGTCTGTAAATAAACAAGTCTGGACAATACAATCCAGTGATCAACAGCATGATCATCGATCAACGCAGTGGGAATACGATGATGTGTTAATCAGGTTAGCGAGCCGTTATGACATGCATGGTCTGCTGAAGACCAGTTCTAACCCTGAACCTCAGAGGTGCAAATACATTTAATCTTGAATATGTATGTGTCCGCGCGTGCGTGTGCGTGTGCGTGCATGTGCTTTTTACTTAACGTCATTCTCAGCAACAGCCCGTCTAAATAACGGCGACTGGTTAATAATCGAGTCTGAACCAGAAAATCCTGAGCTTGATATCGTGAGTGAGTGAGTGAGTTTAGCATTACGCCGCTTTTAGCAACATTCCAGCAATATCACGGCAGAGAACAAATGGGCTTCACCTACTGAACCCATATGGGGAATCCAACCCGGGTCTTCGGCGTGACGAGCGAACGCTTTAACCACTAGGCTACCCCCACCGCCCCGAGATGGTATAAGCAACGTTAACACGCTATCAAGCAAGTCATCGAGTCTGACCACCCGATCCACTGAGTCCCCTTTTACAACCAGCATATTTTTCTGGGTACCGAATGTAACCGAGAATCCCTACGGGAAACGCAACAAAACTAGCGTGTCATTGCGTACGTTACGCAGTGAAAGTAAGTTCAAACTGAATTTTCAAAATGGCTGCAGCCG